AATAGATCCATCTAGCGGCGATCAGCCTTGGTATACTCATCAGGGCCGCAGCTGGACATTTTTGGGTCTAGCTTCCTTAAGTAACGGGGGCCGCCGAAGTGATTTGGATGATCTTCGTTTAACGGCGCCCAGATCCAGATCCACTGCCCTCTCCAATCTTTATCCAAGGTATCATTCGGATAGGTTGAAAGATACCCCCTTTCATCCTCAATCTGTCACCAGCCAGGGCCATGCCACTTATTGGACTGGGTATTCGGCATCAATTTGTGTGTGCAGCGAAAGCAATGCACACTCTGCTCCATCCCATAAAACAAGCAGACCCATAAGTAGGTCATAATCCTTCGGATGCTTATAGGGGTCAGCTGGACCAAAGAAATGTTATATCCGTTCAGCAACTTCACAACAAACGGATGCACGGGAAACCGAAGCCCGTATTGCAGCTGCCGAGTATAAACCCCTATATACCCAGATGGAGCTCGGTGAATCCTGTCATCCGCAGAAGGCATTCAGCACCAATAGCCGTCCTCTTCCATTATCCCATAAAAAACTTTGAGTTGCTCGACAAAGCAGTAATTGGCGTCATTCTCGAGCCACCACGAGTAAGGCGCCGTATTCATTATGCCCTCATTCTCTCAGACATCAGTCCATTCTCTTTCTTCAGGGGTCAACGGCCTAGATGCCGAGGTCTCCTTTCGGCCAGAGGTGCTGGCTTCTTCAGAATCTTCTGGAGGCGCGCTGGATAGGGGCACAACCCTTAATGGGGCTCTTCTTGGAATAGCGGCAGGCCCGATCCTAGAGTTAGGGTTCCGGCCGCTGAGAAAAGGCATCATCGCCAAAGGACGATTCCGCCTCGGAATTAACTGCGGCGCCCCCTTTTCCTCTTCCTCGGCACCAGTTTCGGATTCAATGGGCCTTTTACCCCGGGCACCGGCCATGTTTAATCGACGGAAATTCAAAAAAGCGAAAAGAGAGGGGAATTCAAAAAGCAAAGAAAGCTGAAGAAATATCAGAAAAAATTACCTTTACCAAGTGCGGAATTCGCCGATCTTTTGGTTCGGAGCAACGAATTTCACTTTAAAGCCTCGGAATTGTAAGGAATGAAGAAGAATGGAAGTTAGGTTTGCAAGGGTGTTTACGATTCTCAGGTGGTGTGTTTGCGAAATGAGTCAGAATATAGTGGTGAGGGTAACTTATATGTGCTCGTTGGAATCAGGAATTCCTAGAGTTTAAAACCGCCAAAAACCCCACTAATTCCTCCTAAATCCAACTGTTAAACACGTTGCCCAGTAAACTACCCACTAAACCTTCCATCTTCCCTAGTTATTCGCCCTAATGACAGTTAAAACGTCATTAATTACCTTAATTCCATATCCAAAATTTAATCATTTGCTTCCCTCCATCTAGCAAGTCCAAACCCGAACCGTCTTTCAGCGAATCGGGCCTGGGGGGCGAGTTGTTTGGGTCCAATTAATCCTCTATTGGATATGGTCCACAAATGATGCAATTTAAAGCCCAAAGGCAAGGTTCAACTCTCCAGCCCAATGCCAAGTTAGTCAACGGTCCGAGTCAAGTGGCAAGCCCACTTGACTCAAAGGGCCCAAGTCCCCTGATTGATCAAAGGTATAAAAATCCAAACTTATTTCATTTTACATTCATTCACAATCAGCCTCAAGCACCCAAAATCTCTTGCATAGCTTATTCTCTCTCTTTTAAACAATGTACTGACTTCGGCATCGGAGGGGCCTTCCTGGGCACAACCCCCGAGGTCAGTTTTATGTGTGTTTGCTGTGCAGGAAGCCCTCGTCCCAGCTGTCACCTGGATCGAGACTAGTCTTCCCCTTTCAAAAGGACCCTCCGAAGGTCCCATTGTTTTTTTTACCGAAACAAATTATAATGACTTTATGAAGGTAATACAATGAAAACACGCTGAAGAGGACACTACTATATCTCAAGTAAGACATTATGGAACCAACATGATTCTGCAAAATGATTTGCTACACCATGGTACTCTATATGTGCACTCGACCAGAATAATTGATAAAAATGTTCTTGTGACTGAATGTTCTTGTCCCTTTATTTATCTTATTTCCACTTATTATGGATAGTAAGTTCAAATTAGTTTAAATAAGAGTTGAAATATTTATCATAAGTTTAATTTAGGAAAAATGATTCCATATAAGTTTAAATTGCAACTTTTAAAATATAAATATAATTAAGATAATTCGTAATTCCACATAAGTTTAATTTTTATCATCAATTATGTCTAATGAAAAAGGTTGATCATCTTTAAATTAGGATAGTTATATACAATTTTCTATTTATTCATAGTAAACAAATGGTCCATACTATATTTGCTTATAAGCTGAACTGTATTTAATTTTTTGTAGACAAAAGGTATATGAGTAATAATACTCTCATTCGTCCTTTTATTAAGAGCATATTTGGGTTTTTTTCACATGAATTAAGAAAGTTGTACATTTCTTAAAACTAATAATTGAAAGTATAACTATACATGTGGGGTTAGAGAGACAAAAAAAAAGTGAATGTGAATTATTGATGAGAGGGAGAGAGAAAGTATTGGGAGTTGATGTCAAAATTACAAAAAAGAAAAAAGAAGACATGCCATCGAAAAGAAAATAATATTATCAAAAAGTACAACCTTCAAATATCAATACTTATAATTCTGATTACCCAAAATAGAATATAGGCTCTTAATAGAAGGATGGAGAAAATATGACCTTAATTGACCTTCACGAAGGGTCACTACTTCAGTTGTTTGTGCTCTGTACTTCATATGAAGTACAAGTATTATTTTTATTTAAAGTCAACTGTCTGTATTGAGTATTTCAAAAGTATTTTGATCGAATCAATTTGTTTGCTATTAGTGTAAATTAATGAGCATATTAAAATATAGGAGTGAAAAAGCCGTTGAGATAATCCTACGGAGTACATAAATCAGTTAAGTTTTACCCATTTTGACATCTGAAAAGCCGTTTTCCAACCATATATTTTTTTCATTTTGTTGATTGATTAACTACAAATAAATCCCATGTTATTAAAAATATGGCCAATTACCAAATAAGGTTGTGCGTTTCTACTTGAAAATATGCCCATACAATACAAGTATACAACCGATACAAGTTGAGTGTGTACAACGACCACTTCCAAGTTCCAACAAAATAAAAAATAAATACAACAGAATTCCTCAATACAGAGTAAGAGTTAAAACACACACTAGTATACTACCATGGTAGGATAGGGATTTCCATCAACAACTCACCATTTCTAGCCACTTTTTCAAACAATTGAGAAAGGCTTACTTCGTACAAAAAGTCAAGTTTGCAACTTTATTGTCGAGGCACTCAAGCCCCAATACCACTACATAGTACATGTCTTCAGTCTTTCTGGACAGAAGTTCATGTCTTCAGCCTTCCATCTATGTTCATCTTTGGGCCGCCAACAACCATCACAAGTTTACAAGACTAATATATACTATAACTGAATGATAACCTTCAAAAATACAGAGTAATAACTTAACCAGCCTGCAGGCCTTGCACTGTGAATCTTACAACTTTGAAAAACTGGAAAATTTATAATTAGAGGACCTGCCAAAGATGAATGCCTTATACTCACATTTGAGTTCCCAAATACAATTATACCCAATCAGGACCTAAAGATAGTTTTCAGAGTACAACTATGATCCACAATCTAGAGTAATCCGTAGTTCGTACCATGGATAGAATGCACACAAGTTTTCTTCAGTTTAAGCACAACTAGGATCATTATATAGAACACTAATATTAAGCCATCGAAGATAACATCTATTTACGTTTCAAACCCCCTGTAGAGTATATAAATGGATAAATTTACTCTACAGTAACCCTAATCAGGTTATAACTGTGGCACCACCAAAATGCTTAAAAATGACCTATATTAAAGTATTAAACAAAGGAATTGAGTCTAAGAGACATGCCTAAATAATTCCATATTGACATTTAATTTGATACCCAAATTAATGAGCCCTCATTACAACACATGGGGGCTTTCTGCAAGATCACTCCAACTGTAAGTTTATTCCAATGACCAAAGTATTAGTTCAGCATCTAATACAGTACTTCATAACAATACTCTCCAGAATAATGACTTAATACTAGCACAAGCAATATGAATCAAAGTTGGACATGATAAATAAACTAGGCTCTATGACACAACTCAATTATCAACAGAGCATATAGAGCATTTTTCAATCATAAATATCTAAAAAATCAAATCTAGGTACAATCCACATAAAATACACCCAGTTGAATCGAAAGGAACTGAGGAGGGTAACTTAAGATGTGGTTCTCCAACAATGCCAACAAGGTGATAATGAAAATCCAGCATAGTGCATGGGAAACAGATATTAAAAACCAGCATTACTAAACATACTATGACTTTCTAGAGGATAATGCAAATCTCCAACAGCAGTCTTCTTCAAGGATGCAACCCACCATGAAGAAGGGTAAACAGAGATCAAGTTGAAAGAGGAACATCATAAAGCTCCCTAAGCAGGATCAATCTTGTTAGATTTATGAAAGATTGATATTTATTCCCTCTATGTTTATTACTTGAACTGAATATTACAACACTTAAAACATGGCCATCTTACTGGTTTTCAGCAAGAAACATTTGTAACAAGCAGTAATAGACCTATAATTCAAGTTTAAGCTTTTGGACACTATGACATGGATGTAAAGCTAGAAAACAGCTAAAGATTAGATGAGATCTGGAACAATTGGTGAGATTGGAAGAGAAAGAAGATGAATTGAGAGCAGATGGCGTATACCACATTACAATTAGAGTTGTCCAAGGCTTCACAACCTAAAGCTTATTAAACTGAGTACAAGTCATACGAAACGCAATCAACATATTGTTCAGGCATTAAAAATAACAATACATAGATCTTGCTACAAGATTTGAGTGTCTTTAGAAAAGTAAGGATGCTCAAACTATACATAAGATTAATCCATGATGTCAAACAAAGAAACAAGATTAATTAACATACATACATTATTCACCCGAATCATACACCCAGGAATTCGTGTATATCACCATCACTCAATGTAATATGTAAGGACAATTACAATATACAAAGCATGTTGATACACAAATATTGCATTTCTGCCATTGCTCCAATCATTTGCTACAATTTTACAAAGAAAAACTTTCTAATCGAGGCAAAATATACAAAAAACCATACCACACATAAATCAACATATGTCTAACTATGATTCTATAAGTACAATGTACAAAAAAAGGGAATGCAACTTACTACAACTGTTTAATAAGCTGCAATCTCATCCGAAGCAACCGAACATTGAATTCGCCATCGCTAACCTTCAGCATATCCCTAAGCGGCATTGAAAACCCATGCTCCACCAACAATCGATGCCGCGGCTTTATCTTCCCTTCCAAACTAAACGAAAAATACTGCGGAAACTGCTTAATTTCCTTCAAATCCCTCTTCATTTCCTTCACAAAGTACTCAACTTTCGGCTTAAAATTATTCTCAATACTATAAGTTAGCAGCCCAGGTGACCTGAGTACCATATTAACCACCTCAAATTCCAAAAACCCTAAACTTTCCAAAAACTCCATTTTAGGAATTAGGGTATTTTCAACACTGGAAACCAACAAAACAGAGGTATGACAATCGATTTTATCCTCACCCACAAAGCCTAATTTCCGCAAAAACAAAAAAGTGGGACGCAATTGAAGATCAACACTAGAAACGAGCAATCTAGGGCAACGGATAATGGCTTTGCTGACGTCAGGAAAGGGTAATTGAAGCTCATTAATGAGAAAATCGAAAATTGGGTAAAGATTGAGGTGGGGATCGAAGGTGAGGAGTTGAGGGTACATGTCAAGAATCCGGCCAAGTGAATAACGAGGAATTCCGAAAGAAAGGAGACAATTTTCGACGGATTTTAGGGTTTCAAGAGAGGAAGAACGAAATTGGGGGTTTTGGCGGAGGGCTTTGAGGGAATTGACGTTTAGGGATTCGAGGTAGATGAGTTTCCGGCGGAATTGGAGGCCGGTATCGGCGGTGGGGGCGGAGGAGAGAGAATATGCAGGGGTTTGCGAGGGTTTAGGGGGAGGTGAGAGAGGGATGAACAAGGGTGAAGGGTGGTGGGAAAGGGAGGTAATGGTGAGATGTGGTATCATCTTTGGAGTAGCATTGGGAGTGACTCGAGTGAGTGTCCGAGTGATAACACTACAAGTTGATGATGCTAAGATGCTTGAGTCAAGTCTTTAAGTGGTCTTCTTACCAACAAGGTGGTAAATACATTGATGCCGCTTAAGAAAAGTCTTGAATTTGACCTCATCATATAAAGAAATTTACTTTTGGGAGATTCACCAATCATTAGTCAGGTGTACGACACGGGTCGAATTCGAATGTAGTCGAAACTAAGTTTCGGTGAACCAGGTGGGCTTCCTAAACTGCTCTCCTCACCTGCAAGACATCAATCCTTATTCAATCAAATACTCCCTTTGTCCCAATATATAGTTCCTATTTGTATTTTTCATGGTATTTAAGAAATAAGAGGAGAAAGTGGATGAACTACATAAAAAAAGTGAAAAGTACAACTATAGACAAAAGTTACTGAGAAAAAAGTGAATGAAGTACATAAAAATAGGTGAAAAGTGCACTAGCCAAAAGTTAGTGAGAGAAAGTGGAATAAGTACAAGACAAGTGGAAAATTTAAGGATAATTTAAGAAGTACAATGAATAAAGTTAAAAAAAAATGAGGGTATAATGGTTTTTATATACTATCCAAAAATGAAAACAAGAACTATAGTTTGGGACAGAGGGAATAGTTAATTTTCCTATGAGTGTTTCAGCAACATGAAATGATTAGTATAGTTGGATGATACTCCAATTACCCTAATTCTCTCGACCCCTTTCGTGACCACATTAGCATTTATCGTTTTTAGTGTGCTTTTGAACCAATTCGGTACTTATATTGTATTTTTTGGGATCTAATTGTAGTTAGTAGTATTTTTGTGCATATATTTTTGTCTTATTTTTTAAAAGATTTATTAGTTTCTTTTTAGCCTATTTTGTACTCCGTATTTTATATTTGGTCATAGGCCTCCTTTCCAAAACTCTATCGCATACTTCGTATATCCAAATCTATTATCTCTCTAATAATTGGATTAATTAATCAGGTATAAATTTACATACATTCGAACCTTCCCAATTTAAGAAGAATAAATAATGGAATTCATGTTAGGTGCATTGATTGTTTACAAAGTTGGAAGTGATAGTATTCGAATTCACTTTTTTACTTGTTGAACAGCCATCTAATCTAATCAACAATCACAAAATACTTTACGAAATAATAGAGAGAAGCCGTGAGATGCTATACACATCTTCGAAGAATCCAGCAGTAGCACAAGTTCTATGCATAACAAATTCTTACCAACTTAAACCTTTACCATTCATAATTTTCTTTTTAAAGGGGCCTAGATGATTATTGCTTTTAGCTTGTGAAGTTGCAACTTGTAATAAGAATCCTTCACCGTTCACTTTGTTTGAGAGACTATTTTCGTTACAAGTGTGTGAATGTTATGTCCTACATTAAAAGATAAAAGTAAAGAACTTTCACTTTATAATCCTAGTGGGTTACTCTTTCTATTACCAACTGGATTTAAGTAGCATGAAAGACGAGTAATAACATTATCCATTACCATTCATATTGATGAAATTGACAATATAATATCCAATTGGTTAATCAATATACAACTTGTATGTCATTATCATCTGCCAAATTAATTGTTTTTCCTAAAATAAAAAACTGTTTTTATGTAAGTACACTTATAATCCCGTGACAATTTCTCAGATCATAATAGCTCTCTACAATGGTAGGTTTCAAATGTTTAGTATAAAATCACTTTTCAAAGCTTATAATCGGCCGCATCTTTCGCTCCTATTATATTGGCAATTGGCATAATCAAACCAACTTGGTAGTACTTAATATAGTAAGTTTTAATGTAATATGACTTGGAACTTTGGAAGTGTTTAAGAGTTTATATTCCCTTGACAAACCTCAATTAAATTAACATGACAAATGGTGTAAATTATGTATCCATATTAAGAGATCATAACATATTAACACGTACATGTCAATTAAAACTAGTTTTTGGCCCGATCGATATCCTGGGCCATTATATAATATAAATTGAAAATGAGCTTTTATACATAGTAATAAAAATTATATGATGAAATATGAATATGGATTGTAGTTGGATCCAATCGTAGCAATTGGCTTTTCCCATCCAAATGCTGCGATTAGATTGATCCATGTTAACGCTCTTGAAAACCAGCATAATTTTTCTATAGCGTAAAGTAAAGGTAACTATGGTCTTCCAAGTGTAGGAAAATCTTAATCAATAATGGAGCACTCCTAAAAATCTCACTGGAGAAATTTAGAAAATATGTAAATGATACAAAAACCATCTAGAATGACTACCTGTCTTATCAACTACTTCGTATATATCAAGAATTACAACAATCAAGACAATATTGAAATTTTTTTCTTTGAGAATTGATGTGTTGATTGCAAAGTTGCCAAAAGAATATGGAATACAATGTAACTTTTAAATTTGGTCCATATATATGAATCTATGATTGATATCTTGCTACAGTTACGAATAACGTCTAATGGCCTATACAAAAAGGCCAAGAATGAAAATGTAGCATTGTAAAAAAAAAAAAAAAAAAAAAGAAAGAAAGAGAAAAAACCAAGAGTTTGTCCAAGCCATTGATAGTGGAATAGTGTTCATTTGAAGTAACAAAATCTAGTACATGTGAAAATGTATAATTCGGAATCTTGATTAATTTAAAAATTATTGAAAACCACAAAAGATATATGACATGTAACTTAGTTATAGTGTGTATGCTTATCTTTGAGACATCACTTTCATCTTTTGTTACATGACATGATTATTACTAGCTAGTATTGGTTCTGTGCTTTCAGTTGAAGATGAACCTAATTCTTGATTCTTCACATTTCTAGGCAAAGATCTTTCACTACTACTCCGTATTAAAGGGTAATTTGGGGAAGTAAAAAGTTCAATATTTCAAAATTAAGATAGAAACCATAAGATGGTTAAATCTGTAATATTTTAAAGAGACGTATACTCTATAAGTCATGACTCGTGGGATGGACAATTGTGACCCTATATTATTATTCCACAATATCTGTGGAGATGTCATGACCTCTAGTATATAGTTTGATCTGAACAATTTGACTAAAAATTGTGTAAGTTGATGAGTATGAGTGTGCTAGATTTGTTCGATTATTCTCATCCAGCCTTATCTCGTGCTGGCCACACTCCTTTGTAACCACACGACAAAATATCCCTATTAAGCATATAATTCTGACGTCAAGTCTATACAAGAGTTTCCTAGGAAACTCTCTTCTAAAACCAAGAATATTGCTATAATTACAATGAAATCTTACACCAACTAATCTAAAAATTATCTATAAGTTGATATAATCGTCAAAGATCAATATATTCACATAAAGATATTATATTTTAGGACAGACAGAAGGAACATTATTCATGTTTGCTTAGTCTTAGCTTGCTGATTCAAGAACTTGATAACTTTATAAAGTGAGAAAGGTAGGTATTCCTTGGTGATCTTACCTTCCTTAGCTGCATTAGTGGGTAGATTGATCGACGAAGAGGAAAAAGCCGAACCATTAATGATTGAGCACTTTGGACGTGCCTAATTTGTCATCCTAATTCTGTTAAGGTATGTATGAACTGTTTACATACTTCATTTACCTTCAGGGAATTTCTGACATGCTCTGAAGTTTGATATATGTACTACTGTATTATATATTAGCAGTAGTTTTAAGTAGTGTTGTATTATTTATTCAAAAAAAAAAAAAGTGTTGTAATTGAAGTGTTTTTTGTTTCTTCAGTGAATTGTGTACTGTTGAGAGGAAAAATGATACATCAAATGGGAGAGGAGAAAGATGATAGAGAGATCGAGAGGGTAGAGGAGATTGAAGGTGGATTATCAGATGAGGCGGTAACACTGACAAGACTGCAACCATGGAATAAGCAGATTACAGTGAGAGGAGTAGTGACAAGTGCAATCATTGGGGCGATTTATAGCATCATTGCAATGAAGCTCAACCTTACTACTGGTCTTAGTCCCAATCTCAATGTCTCTGCTGCTCTTCTGGCCTTTGTTTTCGTTAGGTCTTGGAACAAAGTCCTTAAGAAACTCGGGTTTTCTCCTGTCCCCTTCACTAAGCAGGAAAATACCATGATTCAGACTTGTGCAGTTGCTTGCTATAGCATAGCCATTGGAGGTTCAGAAACCCCCACTTTCTGTCTCTCTCTTTTAGGTGTTTATTGCTGTAACTCGAATTCAGATATATGATCATTCTGTTGTGTTTTCCCCCTTACTTTGCTGAACAGGTGGATTTGGGTCTTACCTTTTGGGATTGAACAAGAAGACCTATGAGCTAGCTGGAGTTAACATGGAAGGGAATTCTCCAGAAAGTTACAAGGAACTAAAAGTTGGCTGGATGACAGCTTATCTTTTCCTCGTCTGTTTCGTTGGTCTCTTTGTGTTGATCCCCCTAAGGAAGGTAAGAAAAAGGTTCATTTGTTTTGGTGCTTCCATAGAAATTGTTAGCTTTATATATTGTATTATTTGTATATGACAACATGTGCTTATGAAAGCTAAACTTCGTATCTGCAGATACTTATAATCGATTACAATTTGGTATTTCCAAGTGGTATGGCAACTGCTGTGCTCATCAATGGATTCCATACAAGAGGAGATAAAATGGCAAAGTATGCACATAACTCATAACTCAAGCGGCAAGTTGCTTTATGCTTTAATAATCTTAGCAGTTGTCCTTTCTGTAGTCTAGTGGAATCGCAGAAGTAGATTGAGTTGTGCTTGATTGCTAAGGGAAAATACTAACAGGATAGGTTCTAATTTGGTTCAGGAAACAGGTACGCGGATTCTTTAAGTACTTTTCGCTGAGCTTCTTTTGGGGGTTTTTCCAATGGTTTTACACTGCTAAAGAGAACTGTGGGTTCATTCAATTCCCTACCTTCGGACTGAAAGCTTGGAAGCAAACGTAACCTTCTTGCTTCATCTCTTTCAGCTCAATTACCATATACTAGGATACTACTAGAAAATAAGTTGATTATGTTGCAATTTTGTGCAGATTTTACTTTGATTTTAGCATGACTTATGTGGGAACGGGGATGATTTGTTCTCATCTTGTTAGTTTGTCTTTGCTCTTTGGAGCCATTCTCTCGTGGGGACTGATGTGGCCTCTCATTAACAAGCAAAAGGGAGATTGGTTCCCTGAAAGCGTATCAGAAGAAAGCATGCAGAGTTTGAATGGCTACAAGGTTATTAAGCTCTCATTTCTCACCGGAACATCTTAATCACTTGCTCAACCAAAACACCAATATTTCCATCTTAGTGTACCTTACTCTTCAAAGAACATGTTTTTGACAGGTCTTTATTTCCATCGCTCTCATATTTGGAGACGGCCTCTATAATTTCTTCAAAGTGATGCTTATCATCCTTGTAAATGTTCGCAGTAGAATGAAACAGAAGGCAATCCTGAATGCAGGAAACTTTTCTGCTTTACTATTGTAAATTACAGACAAGTCCTTATAATACATCATCGGATTGAAATGAAAGTGCATTGTTTTTTTATTTATTTCAGAAACAATTGGTCAATGCAAAGCTCCTAGCATTGAAAGGCAGAACGAGGTGTTTATCAGGGAAAGCATACCAATGTGGGTAGCAGGCAGTGGCTACCTCTTCTTCTCCACTATAACTGTGATTGCCCTCCCAATGTTGTTCCCTGAAATAAAATGGTATTATGTTATCGTAGCCTACATTCTTGCACCAGCTTTGGCCTTCTGCAATGCCTATGGAGCTGGACTAACAGACATGAACATGGCATACAACTACGGCAAAGTGGCCCTCTTTGTGTTAGCTAGCTTAGCAGGGAAAAAATATGGTGTGGTGGCAGGACTAGTAGGCGCAGGGGTCATCAAATCAATGGGTCTAGTTTCTTGTACATTGATGCAGGACATTAAGACAGGCCATCTGACCTTATCATCACCGCGATCAATGCTTATCAGTCAAGCCATTGGGACAGTCATTGGATGTATTGTCACCCCTCCTAGTTTCTTTCTGTTTTACAAAGCATTTGATGTGGGAAATCCCAACGGCGAATATAAAGCTCCTTATGCTTTGATATATAGGAACATGGCAATTTTAGGGGTTGAAGGCTTCTCTGCTTTACCACAGCATTGTTTGCAGCTTTGCTGTGGTTTCTTCGCGTTTGCAATATTTGCTGACTTAATTAGAGATCTATGTCCTACAAAGATTGGAAGATGGATGCCACTTCCTATGGTTATGGCAGTGCCATTTCTAGTAGGTGGATACTTTGCCATTGACATGTGTGTAGGGAGCTTAGTGGTGTATGTGTGGCATAGGATTAATTCAAAGCAGGCCGATCTGATGGTTCCGGCTGTGGCTTCTGGCTTGATCTGTGGTGAAGGTCTCTGGTCTCTTCCTGCTTCATTTCTTGCTTTGGCCAATGTTAATCCTCCAATTTGCATGACATTTTTGTCTTCCAAGAAATAGAACATTCTGTACTAGGTACACCGTACACACAGTTTTTTGTTTTTGCTTTTTTTAACACACACAATAATGTATACATTTTCTATTCAGAATTTTAGATGCAGCAGAAAATGCATTTCATCCCTAATTCAGTAATTTTCTAGACTTTTAAGTGTCTTATGCACATTGATGAATTCTTTATGCTAGGTTTAAACCCAACCTCTTCCCTCTCATAGTCTCGTATGTTTAAATTAAACGGATTTATCTTTCATGATATTCAGGAAAAAAATAATTCCGTAGTAAACTATTCATCCCTTCATCCACATAGATTAAAGAGTAGTAAACTATTCTTCCCTTCGTCCATGGATTTTGATGTTGTTGGCAAAATTGGAGATGTTTGAGGATCTGAGAAATTTGGAGGTAGTGTTTGGAGGATTTTGATTTTCATTGGTTTGGGAATTTTTTCACAGAATTATACTATTGAATATATGTATGGATCTTCATAATCCATATTAAAATCTGACGTAAAATACAATATGAAAAGTTGTGTAATCATATCTATGTATGCATGAAGCCATTTATATAACCATTAGTGTTACATAAGGAAAGTACAAAACAAATCTGTCTATCTCCATGTGTAAGATGGTAGATAGTCAATGTATATCCCATGCATATCTCCTACTATCACTCTTGACACCCTTTGTAGTAATATTGACTACTCTATCAGTAACAATAGTGTACACATATAAAGTAAAATCTCCACAAAAATCTCAACAATCATATACATAGTACTTCATAGAGAGTGAGGTATAGATTAAGTGGTTAGAGCTCTCCTCCCGTTTCGAAGAGATCTTGGGATCGATTATCATCACCTACCCTCGTGGCTCTTTAAACACCAAAAAAAAAAAAAAAAAAAAACATAGTACTCCATACAAAAGTTTTATCCAATCATTAAAGATATTGTACGAATAAAAATAAACAAAATAAAAAATAAAAATAGCTGAGAAGATAAACTTAAAAAAATTAACCACATAAAATATTAAAAATGACCTATTAGAGATTTCCCAAAAAAAAAAAAACCAGTTATCTTGAGATTGAGTTTTTATCCGAATGCCTAATATCAATACTTATTTGGGTAAACAAATGACCCCATCAAAATAATTTAAACACTGAAAATAAAGATGAATTAGGTACCGTGCATATATTATTTTGATAAATATATCCGTATACACCATCTAATTCATTCCTTAAAGTGATGATTCAGTGTCACCCGAAAATAGCTTGGAGAGAAATATGTGCATAGCAGCAAGTTGCAGAATTATCAATCCCGCTAATACAGCACATAGTTAGAGTCAACTATAGAACAATACTGGACATGTGGGTTTGAATTTTGATTCTATCATATTTTTTTGAATTTTTTTTTCCCCAATTTTACAATTTTATAGAGTTGAGAAGTCACCAAATCTCACATCATAGTCCTTTTGTAACAAAGTTGTTATACATATACTCCATATTAGTAGGGGAGAATTTGTACAAAACAAAGTCCAATAACTCCCACTCTTTTATCACTCATATTTTCTGATCTGACCAAGATTCACTCAGAAAATATGGGGGATGAGAGGCCAGAAAGAGAGATACAGCGGTTGGAGGTGGAGGAGGATCAACAGGAGGAGTCCGAATTCGACTTGAGGAAGAAAATCCCACCATGGAATAAACAGATTACAATACGAGGTTTGGTTGCAAGTACAATCATAGGTGTTCTCTACTGCATCATTATAATGAGGATAAGCCTCACTACTGGTCTGAGTCCTAACCTGAATGTCTCTGTTGCTCTTCTCGCGTTCATTTTTATACAATCATGGACTAAGATCCTTCAGAAGACCTCATTTTTGTCTGTGCCTTTCACTAGACAGGAAAATACCATGATTCAGACGTGTGCTGTTGCCTGCTACAGCATATCCATTTCAGGTCTGAATATGCAATGCTGTCATTTTTGTTCTCAACAACAAAGTCACTTAGCTCATCGATTATTCTTTGTTCACCTTTTGATTGCTTTGCAGGTGGATACGGGGCATATCTGTTGGCACTAAACAAGAAAACATACGAGCTTGCCGGAGTAAACACACCAGCGAACCACCCAGGAAGTTACATGGAGCTAAAACTAGGTTGGGTGATTGGTTATAACTTGATTGTCTGTTTTGTTGGACTGTTTGTGTTGATCCCACTTCGGAAGGTAAATTAAATTTGCTTTCACACATAGTTACTTGACTAAATAGCGAGGCGAAAATGATCCCTTATCTAATGTTCAATCTTGATGTCTTGAAGATATTGATAGTTGACTACAAATTGCCCTTCCCAAGTGGCTTGGCAACTGCTGTTCTCATTAATGGATTTCATTCAAAGGGAGATAAACTGTCAAGGTATATTTACCACCTCCCTATGTTTTTAGCAAAATTAAAGGTGTTATTTCGGTTGAATAGTTAGGTGTTATTTTCGTTAAACTTAAAATAATAAATTCCTAAAAATGCTTTGAAAGTTTGAAGTAGCTCAATCACTTTCATGATTGATACATCAAACCGCCAAAAATAAAACAAGAAGAAAGTTCTTGTCAGTTGTCACAACTTGTATTTATTAGCTGGCACAAGAAGTACCAATGTACTTATGCTTATCTCAATAAACATGAGGCATAGCATAGGTAAGACAAAATGGTCAAGTGCTGACCCTCAATAAGGTGGGGAGGGGGAGGTAAATCTCGGTTATTAATTAAGAGTACAGACATAACCTCTATAAGCTGCAGAGGGGGGATCATAAGGGGACTGAACCTTAACGATTTAACCCTCCCTCCCGCAGAAGTAGAAGCCCTCCACATATAGTGATACCCTTATCTCCGGCAAGATCTCTTCATCTTGGCCAGATAATACTTATTGTCACTATGTATGCCTTAAACTAAACATAAAAAAGAATTCAATGTGGATGGACTTCAGAGTCCACCCCCTATGCATGATGTATCATCCCTCAGTGTACAAAGCATTGTCCCAGATTTCATTAGATTGTGAAACCTCTTGAGTATATTGGAGAGAATATTATTTGAATTGTTTTGAAGTCCTCTTCACCCATTGACACGCCCAATTATGAATACAGTAGAAGTTAAAGCTGTTCAAGGTTACAACTCTATTATACCAAGATTATGCTCATGAAGCAGGATCTATTAGTATAAATTTCACTGAACAAAGAAATCAATTCTATAGCTTAGACTGTATCAAAACTTTGCACGTTGTTCCCAGGAAGCAGGTGCGAGGATTCATGAAGTACTTTTCATTCAGTTTCCTCTGGGGTTTTTTCCAGTGGTTTTTCACTGGGAAAGCAGGGGACTGTGGATTCAGCCAGTTCCCGACTTTTGGCCTTCAAGCTTGGAAACAATCGTAATTTCTTTCTTCCCTCCTCGAACTAGAAATCCTATATTCACAAATCACAATACAACCACATTCCTGCTTGACTTGTCTAATTTACTTACTGCAGATTTTACTTCGACTTCAGCCTAACATATATTGGCACGGGAATGATTTGTTCTCATCTTGTTAATTTATCTTTGCTTCTGGGAGCCGTGATCTCATGGGGTATTATGTGGCCACTCATCAATAAACTCGAAGGAAACTGGTTCCCTGCAGATTTACCAGGTTACAGCATGCAGGGACTCAGTGGCTACAAGGTAACTTTCTCTGCCAAAGCTCCGCCCTAAAAACTAACAAACCTCAAACATCATACACCTTTTAAGCATATGAATCCTCAATTCCAAATGATTGTTTTCTCATATTTAGTAGGGAAAGCCCATTTGGGTAGTTTAACTAAGTTTTATTAGTTTCTAATTAAGAAAAAATCAAAAAATATTTAGTAGGGAAACATCATGATGTTCTAGACTATTCCATAACTGATCTCTAACAGGATAATTTCTGCAGGTATTCATTTCCATTGCCCTCATTTTTGGGGATGGGTTATATATCTTCCTCAAAGTAATTTATATTATCATAAAAAACATTCATGATAGAACGAAAAACCAGACCCCCAATACAGGTGAATTTTATCTTAAGAAGTTCACACTTCTTTAATACAAGTCCCTTAATTTTGTGGTATGAGTAGAAAATCATCTGTAACAATCTGTAAAAAAAACCCCCATTTTAATGCAAAGAAGTGTTTTTGTTGCAGATGATAATAATCAGAACACAAATCCTGATCTCCATAAACAAAATGAACTTTTTGTAAGGGAAAGGATTCCAATGTGGATTTCAGGCGCTGGATACATCCCCCTCTCCATCGTCTCCACCATCGTGATTCCTTTTATGTTTCCCCAGATTAAATGGTATTATGTCATTGTAGCATATATTCTCTCTCCAATTATATCTTTTGCCAATGCATATGGAGCTGGTTTAACTGATCAGAACATGGCATACAATTATGGGAAAGTAGCCATTTTCATCCTGGCTGCCCTTGCTGGGAAAGACAATGGATTGGTAGCAGGGCTTGTAGGCTGTGGTGTCATCAAGTCAGTTGCCTTTGTTTCTTGCACTCTAATGCAAGATTTCAAAACAGGCCACATGACCCTATCATCCCCTCGCTCAATGCTCATCAGCCAAGCGGTGGGCACCGCAATTGGATGCATTGCAGCTTCTCTAAGCTTCTTCTTGTTCTACCAAGCATTCGACGTGGGAAATCCTACTGGGGAATACAAAGCACCTTACGCCCTAATTTACAGGAACATGGCAATTTTGGGGGTCCAGGGATTCTCGGCACTTCCTCAACATTGTTTGCAGCTCTGCTACGGGTTTTTTGCAATAGCAGTAGGACTAAACCTGCTGCGAGACCTACTACCATCCAGGATTGGAAAATTGATGCCACTTCCAATGGTTATGGCAGTGCCATTTTTGGTGGGGGGATATTTTGCAATTGATATGTGTGTGGGAAGTTTGATAGTCTTCACATGGCAAAAACTTAACCCAAAGAAGGCTAACTTTATGATTCCAGTTGTTGCATCAGGTTTCATTAGTGGGGAAGGGATTTGGAGCCTCCCGGCTGCTCTTCTGGCTTTAGCCAAAGTTAAAGCTCCAATATGTATGAAATTTTTGGCTTCCTCAGCCTCCTAGATGAATTTGTAGACTTTTTAAAAAAATTATTTATACATATAGACATATAGTCTGTGACAACGGAGTTAATTATCTCCAAACATTAGATAATTCTGATTTCTACACTAATGTTATATCTGTTGAGTCTCAGCTCAGAATTTTAAGACATTTAATTTCACCAAAGCACATCGAAATTAATTAGGGGATGATACCATATAATAATAATAAAAAAAAAAAGTAACATATGCCACAACTCAAAAGTGAGCACCAAAAATTATTCCTTTATAAACTAGAAAATCAAATGAAAATTCTGCCTTCACAGGCTACACGAGAGACATATATTTGGCGAAATTCTAAGTGCCAATTGCTACACAAGTAAAATTGATTTCCTCCGGAAATTCATCATAATATACATTAATTTTGTGATCAAATAAAGCTATGCTACACAACCCAATAAAGGGGAAAATAAAGCATCCTGATAATACAATTGATACATTTAACATAAATTAATCATCCAGTGATTACACCAGCCAAAACATCACTCTTACCTCGAGCAAAAATTGTGTATACTAAACGAATTGCATCCAGCCAACCATCCAAAGATTCCCATGAGTCAGCTACCTAAGATGTCCAACAACAAAATATTAGTCAGTACCGTGTTATGATCATAGTTAAATACTTAAATGAGCAACTCCACTAGTGGAGAGGGAAAAAGAACTGAGAGAAGTATGGAAATTACAAATATAAAAGATGAAGAAGGTTGCTAACCAAGTAAACCGGTCCATGTACGGTGTCAATAGAGAGTCCAGCTCCGGGTGGCAAAGTAAGATCAGCACATGCTGACACTGAAACGATATCAGGAATGTCAACTTTGACAGCTTTATTTTTAGAATTTGCTGCATCTACAGGCTTGCCAGAAAGACTTTGTCGTGACGTCTTCGGTTCAGGTACAAGCTGCATTAGAAAATGATGTTTCAGTGAGATTTATTACTCTCAGCAAACAATAAGATGGCAGAATGGTTAAATCTCTCAACATATCTCCATAATCCCACTGCCTGGGGTGAAGTGCCGAAGAGTATATCATACATCTTCTCACATAATGACAAACATTCTCAGGGAACTACAATCAACTTTAAATATGTCTGTTTACAGCAAAAGAAAATCTTAGGAAATATTTAGAGACTAACGGGCATTCTGTTTCAGGAAATCCCAACGTCAAATGTAAACAAGTTTTATATAACAGGGAGTATTTGGTTATATAATGCTCTAAACACAATGTGAATGAGACATCAGATATATTCAAGCAGAAAGCATGGAACCTTTTTTTTTTTTTTTTTTTTATGAGCTACTAATTCAGCATTACTGCCTGTGCAATATCCAGAAGTGGCAAAGCAAATATTCACTTTACTTCACCCAACCAAGAGATATTGAAATTACCTGATAAAGGCCCTCATGGTTAAGGACAAATTGAGTCCGCTTCCAATCACTGTGGGGGGCAATTGGATTGCCTGGTGGAGGTGCTGTCAGATATCCCACTTTAAGATAGGGCAAAGGAAGCTGTAAAAAAGGAAAAAAGCAGCAGTAGGTTTAGATCATATTATGACAGAAGATTAAACACACACAGAAAAAAGTGAAGCTTGTGTTAATATCAGGGAGTAAAACAAACCGGTGAGTAGCTCATCAATTCGACTTATCCCTAAGACATATCTCAGATTCTCAGGTCATTAGCTTGAGCTCTCACACTCCTTTTTATCACTGCCAATCTTATGTTACTGCATAGAAATGCATTTTTATAGAATCTGTCTAAAACAACTCCCCTTCCTTGATACACTATATATCTAATAAAAGCAAGAAGTGAAAATAAATCTATCAACAAGCCATAACCCAATTGTCCCTTAAAGGTTGTCAATCTTTGGAAACAAAATTTTCAAGAAGCGTCTCTGCTTTTCCCTATTTGTTTCTCTTCACATCCATGAGAAATGCTCTGGAGATTTCCCTAAACATAGAGTATTTGGTAACTTGATTCAAATATAGGGAATATCTATTGAGGGGACCAAGTAGCATGGAAAGTGAATGCAATTTCAAGGAAATGGAGTATGAACTCTGACAACTCTCACAGTCAACTTAAATGGTGAATGTAACTCGAATCCCAAACACTTTCAATTATGTTTATGCAAAACAAAACATCTTACCATAGAACGAACAAGCCTCAGTGCACTGCGGTAAACCTACAAACAGGAGTGAAAAAACTGTAACAATTACAATTCACCAACGAACTATGCCAAAGAGTAAATAATTATAGTGTGATTGGTTGCAACAGGGATACATGCTAGCTTAGCATAGCAATTTTGCAAAATATATGTTTTTAACATTTCTCCATATACATAAAATATAATTTAGCATCCTGATTATACGATATACCAGGATGAAAAAGATGAAGTGCAAGAACCCAAAGATCCAACAGACAATAACATACTGAGAAATCCTGCTAAAGCAAATCTAGGAAGGATAAGGTATATGCAGCCATAACCCATCATAAAGAACAGGAAACTCTCAAGGTGATAAATCATGAGGACCCCTCAAGAAGGTGGAAAAAAGAACAAATAAAATTGCAGAGGGCTTACCGAGTAATTTGGCTTCAATGCATGAGCAGCTGCAATATAGACGGCACACTGACTATACAAATCATTAGGTGAAACATCGTTATGGCTGGCTGATCCTCCTATTCTTAGCAAGTCCTCGGCTAAACCATACTGCAAAATCATAAAATCATACATAACTTGCCCATTCATACAGTAGGCTCAATTACCGTGTTCCTTTTCTAGCAAAGAAATATTGAGATAATAATAAGAGAGATGAAAGCAGCATTAGACATGCAAAAATTGTTAAATCAAAAAAGATTTATCGAGGACAAACCAAAACAGTGCCAAGGTTGTAAATAGCCCTATGAAAGTCAAACTGCAATTGAATTGCTGCCCGGAACTGCATTAAGGTGTAAAACAGGGAATCAATATAGTGACAAAGATTAAGTAATATTCATAAATCACATAACTAATATCACTTGGCCATCTTGGGTTCATCCAAGCTGAATGTTTGCACCTTACTAATTGCTGTCTTAACAATATTATGTTTTTCCTTAGCAGGAACTATTGCACTGAGCTCCTGTATCACAAAACAAGAAATAGTAAATACCAAAGTCTGTGAGCATTATATTGCCCATACCTTTCTACAGTATAATAATATATACAATGTTCCTAAAGGCCACTCCATTATTTACTTCTCACTGCTCATATAGATGGATGAAATACATTACCTGCAATGCTAGTCCCCAGTTGTTAAGTGCCTGAAAAGGGAGAATGAAATTATCACACTGATGAGTGCCGATAATAAATCAAAGAAACCTAAAAACCAATGATTCAATGTTACACAGAGCAAAAGAAAAAATCGTACTTTTCTTTGCCAAATATAAACAAAAACAAAAAAATCAATTTACCTGGGGACTATTCCAATTCAACTGGACAGCTTTTCCATAGTACTCTGTGGCCTGAAAAGAAGACAATGAGGTCAACAGGTTACTAAATTATTCAATGATGCAAAGAAAAAGCCTCCACCACTGTGCTTCAGAGATTTATGACTGAGACGGCCTCTGGAAATAGTATGACACATTGATGGGCTAACAGACAATCACAAAAACACAAGAAGAATTTTCACATGAAAATATGACCAGAAATAAGCACTCCAGAGTCCAGATCTTTCCCAAAAATTAAGCGTTCGGACTTAATACTCAACTAGCTCAAGAGAGAAAAAGGATTTGGAAGTTGCAAAAAGGGAAATTTTGCCACGGTGTGTATATCCTCACGAAAACCACTTAAATATGTACAGAGAAAGAATATAAGGATGTTGCTGAAGGGTGGAATGCAGATTATGATACTAATAAATTGTATAGAGCAAATCTACAAATTTCTTAGTCCGCCAGTAACAGAGCTGAATTAATTATCCATAGCAGGTCAATCAGTGTATAGAGCTAGTGTTCAACTTAATTGTATCTTTAAAAATTGGGAGCTTAATGAAAGCCAAATGCCATGACAGGCCCGACCGCCAGGGTGTTTTTTATTTTTTATTTTTATTTTTTTAACCAGAGCCGATCAAGATTACATCAACCATGGCCAAAATATAGTATTAGAAAACAATAATAGATGCAGACTGCACTACAGATATTCACATACACAGATGACAAAGCAACTATAATAAAGATAAAAAGCTATTGCACCTGCTTCCACAAGTCTTCAGCCTCCTTTGTACGACCACGCATTCTTGCTCGATCAGAGATAGCAATGGCCCAATTATAGTATGCCTGCATGATATATTGATATCAGCATGGTAATATGTTGCTCTAAAATGGTTCTCAGATACCACGTCTCTACTTTATGGTTAGTATAGAAGCTGCATAGCACAAGCTAGTAAGCCACTACCAGAAGCAAAATTAGAGTGAAAGGAGACATAATACCACATTCTCACGAGTCCATCACCACCACCCCCAGTGCAAGCACGTTAAGTTTGAAAAGGTGGAATCAAAACCTAGTGACCTAGTAATCAACAGCTAAATATCACTTAATAGAACATGCAAACATACATCATGAAGGGTGGGACAAAGACGAGTAGCTTCCTCGTACTTTTTGCAAGCCTCCTCGAGCAATGCGTCTTTAGAAGGTGAGGCAGAATCAGGATCAACATTATCTGCACTTTCCTGAACACAAATTTCACAGAGCTCATCAGGAAAGTAACTCAGATCTAATGCATTCCACAATTGACCTAAAAGACAATATGCTTGCAGATTCAAATCCTGGTACCATAGTCTTTGACTCCTTGTTAGTCAAATATTATAAAGGGGAAACAAAGACAACTTAAGATATATAGTAACCCACTATCATGAATTGAAATGCTCAAAAAGAAAATAATGAAGCACAGTTGTAATTAGAAACCAAGAGAAGACAGAGTGATTTAAGGATCAAATTATAACCTGAAGTACCAAAGCCCAGTTGTAAAGGGCATCATAATCTCCTGAATTTTTCTCTATCGCACTAGCATACCTGCATTGTGGTCAGAATAAGATTACTACACCAAATTATAAAGGTGAGAAAAGGTTCAAATAGGCCCAAAACCTTTCTACATCACCACAGAAAATGTTTTTGCATGTATCAAGAGATAGAAATATATTCATCACATTAATAGTAGCTCTAAGTAATCTACAAGAAGAGCATAGCTTACCTCCTGGCAGCATAAGTAAGAATCTTTTGGCGAGATCGACCTTCCTCATCAACACCCGTTACATTATTGATAAGTTCCATAGCGGCATGGTTCTGGTACGAACTATCTTCGCTGATGAAAACAAATTTTTGAAATTCTCAGCTCCATAGCAATTAATACTTTGTATGCTGAATCATATAAAATGAGTGTGTAGCCACGATATGTCTATTAATCTAACTCACGCAAATACCTTTAGGGTTTAGGATTTATTTGTTTAACATTGTGTGCATGAAATAAGAAGGGGAGAGAAGACACGGGGCAAGATCAGTTTTGAAACAATGTTAATTGTAAGAAATTACTTCATTAGGTGACAGAAAAGAAACAACAAGGCAGTAAACCGGTAACTACAGGTCTTTCAATTGCCAATCTTAGGCCTAATATACAGTGCAAAATTGCAAATCTTAAAAGGTGCATCCTTCATGCCAAGCAAGGCATGGTAGTGGTAAGGTTTGTATCTCACAACCTCAAGGTTGTCGGATCCAACCCCACTAGAGGTTGGGGTGGGATTCCCTTACCCTCCCCCCCCCCCCACTCCCAAAGGGCCTAGCTCGCAAACCCGGGTTGGGTGAGGGCCCTTCTCCTTACCAACAAAAAAAAACAAAGGTGCATCCTTCATGGCGTGCTTTCCTAGTTAGCAATCAATACAGGAAAATAATCCCTTCTATTTTATAACCTTGCACGCAGAATTCTTTGCTACATGTAAAAAAAGCACCAAACGTTAAATTAATCCCCCATATCCGTTAAGCGGCAATTGATTGGAGGTCACTCCATAAGGCCCACTCCCATCACAAACGTCTGTGGCACACCGGCATTTTGTCTCCATTGATAGTTTTGGTACCCCTGGCACCAAAACAGTCAACCAAGCAATACACACACACACACCACCGTGAAAAGTTGGGCTCACTGTTGGACATGAGCACACTCCTTAATTGAAAATGAAAACTCATCTACTGCCCCTCAAAAATCCTTTGATCAAAAAATCCTCGAATAGGCAGAACACTTCATCCATCCTACAATAATATGCTACACCTGCCTTTCAAGGTCAAAAGCTGCTAACTTCGACCTTTAAATTCTCAAACGGACACTCTTACTACTTCATATTCATCTAAACATAAATCTTTTCTCAAAAAAAAAATCATCCACTTCACAAATAGGTGACACCAATGATAAAAGTTAACAAAGTTTGACCACGAAAGTTAATTGCAACCAATTATTTCAGAACCGAAGGGCATATATATCCTAAATTCTACTGCTATTACAATGCAGATGTCAGAGATATGATCAATAAGCTGAATTCTAAGATACCCTAGCAAGATTACAATTTCCAAATTAACTGATGAATAATCCAAAACTAAGACAAATTCCCAATATTCCCAGCAAATCAATTACAATTCCACTATTTGCGTCATAAGATTCATAATTACATTCCCAAACCATATAATATAATCGAAATTAAACAAGCATAACACTGACAAATCATAGAAAGAGAAAGAAGAAAACCTAAGAGGAGAGGCAGAATCAGCAGCAACAGGAGTAGAATTGTTAGAGGTTCCTTGATCTCCCTTCAAACCACTCAACAATTCTCTCATCGTGAAGGTTCGACTACCTTCATCCTTCTTCAATTCGGGTTGACCCGATGATTCGTCGTTTGATCCGGAAGGAAGAGACTCGGGTTCGGGCACCTCGTGTTTCGGATCCTTGTCGGAAGCAACAGGCTCAAGTATGGCTTCAACGGCGTCGTTTGATTGCTCAATGGTGTCGTTTGATTGCTCAATGGCGCCATTCTCCTGCGGATCTGTTGCAGGTTCTAATGCCGTGGGACGGTGTTCGGGGGATTCTTCGGAAGGTACCGCCATTGTTGAAAGCTTCGAGATTTGATGGAGTTTGGTGATTGATGGGGAAGAGAGAGAAAGATGGAAGGAGAAGAGAGGTAAGGATGAATTTTAAATATGGTGATGTGTTTGGTTTGTATCAGAATTTTACAAGGTGTAGGAAAAGGAATGAGATCTGGAGTAGACTGTTTTTTTGGCTTTTGCACTCACAAAACTAACATTGCAAGAATATGTGCTTAAAAAAAAAAATCTTAATGATGGATCTTAGTTAGAAGATGGACATGGCCAGGTAGCACCACTGCACTAAGGGGCGAGGGCTGGTTAAACACGACATGAAAATTAATCAATGTGTCAGACTGTCACTAGTCTTTCACAAGCCTAATATGAAATGAGAGGCACGCTGATGGGTCATGTGTCATACATGAACATTATTTTTAAAATTTAATATGAACCTAATATGAGCACAACCGGTTGCTCACCTACCTTTAGCCTATATTGAGGTCCATTGACATGACCTAGCAAGGCACAAACCCTACATTTATGAAACACTGACACAAGTGGCCCATCATGACTATTTCTTGGCCCATTCTAAGTACGACTTGCTTGAGCACGAGGTTTACTGACATTACATGTAGGCATACACGGCATAATCGTGCCCACCTTCGAGGTTTGTTAGTTTTTTATTCTCGAAATTATCGGGTGTTCGAATCCATCTCTCTTCAAATAAAATAAGTTCAAACAAAATTATATTGTATGAAAAAAGCTTAAACAACATAAGTTCAAAAAATTTAACAAAATAAAATAAATTACTTGTACAATTATACAAGTGAATTTAAACATTTGTTAGCCATAGCTTATTTTCTCGGTGTAAAGAAACGATTTCCACAAGGAAAATGACCATTTAACCCTGACCTCCATCCGGCAGGCTACCACTACTGAACTCCATCAAGCCATCAGGCCCCATCACCACCTTCACAATCAGTCAGGAAGGTCAACGCTTCATTAGTAGATCATTGATGGGAAAGTGACATAAGGTCAAGAGAATTCTAAGATTCATCCACTTGCAATGTGATTCACCATATTTGGAATTGGGATAAGGGAATAGGTGGTGATGAGTGGTTGATGAGCATATCAAATCATGTAGGAAGCTAATAGTTTAACGAATGTATCGTATCGTATGATCGAATAAGAAAGATGCTACTCTATAATCGCATTGAGATTACGCTACTCTATAATGACATTGAGATTATGAGTTTAATACGAAATATATCGACACTTATTTCTCAGGATAGAGAATTAGTGCATTGGTTGATTGTACAAAAATATGCGGAGATCTTTAGCTATAAACACTTGAGTACTTGACAGCATGACAGATTTTGATTATGTGGTGAATGTGATGAGATTCTTCGACAATCACTCTTATTTTGCAATGAGACATAATTCAATTGTTTATTCACGTCCTTTTCTATTTTTTTGGACAACAATTTTCTATAACTTTGACTCTTTGAGCATACAAAAAATAGGTAGGCAATCCGTCATTTTTATTCATAAAAACAAACTACTCTATCCTTATCTGTTTATCTGTTTACTAGTTCAAAATATAATACTCTAGTTTTGGGAAGAGTTCAAAAATGATCATCCTAAAAATATTATGCAATTGAGATTATTAGATATAAATGGAGTCCATACTCTTTTACTTGTAAGTGAATGCATTTTAAGGATTTCGGACCTGATTTTAGAAATGTTGTAGACGGATAGGTGCTTAAGTTCTTCCACAGAAATAGGTTAAAGTAAAACCAATGGCTCAAAGAATGTGGAAAGACTACAAAGCTTACCAGTTTCACTGATTTTGGAATTCCGCCTCCATCGCTCAGTTGAGCGCGGGCAGTATAACATAGACATATTCCATACTTAAGGAGCATACAGAGGTGTATCAGTTATGAAGTGCTTTTCTTTCCAAAGCATCATCTAATGGATACATAGGTCTAGATTGGTTAAGGGGAGATCCCATAACCAAAATAGTAAAATACAACAAATTAATCAGGAAAAGAAAAAAAAAAGAAAAGAAACGAAAACAGTGTCCCAACCCAAATTTAGGGTGTAGTTATATTTTGTCATGCAAAGTCACCACCAAGTCATGAGCATCATCCAACAGCTTCCAGACATCCAAATTCCCAGCCATGTTATTACATTCCCTTATTATTTCATCCATGCTGTCGTATTTCTCTAGTATAAGCTTCCTTCTCTGCAGCACACATGCTGCTACAGCGTAGAGAAGTAGATCGTCAGTGGGAGGGGCTCTCAGCCGCATTTTCCCCCATGCTGACTTGCTGATCCCGGCCCTAATTGCAGTCTGATCAGCCCACATAACCTCCCAGAGACAAAGTGTCTGCTCAAAAGTCAACTCTCTCCGAAAGAGGACCACTACCATTCTGTACAAAAAGAAACAGTCTTCTGCTTGAAGCTTCTCTAAATGTCTATAAAGATGCGAGTCTTTACACTTGATGATCTTGGATATAAGACCCAGCTGCCTTCTAATCCCTACCTCATCAAGCCGGAAGTTGTGCCTTGCTTTTTTCATGAAACCAACAAAGCACCAGAATGCCTCATGATCCTCCTCTATGACTGATATGATTGGAGAGAGAAGATCACTCATCCCTTGGCAGTAGCCAGTCTCAGGATCATAAAGTGCGTAAGCTTCAAGTATAGAAACGAGACGAGTAGCATGGTATATCATGCATGGTTCTAAGTGATCATATTCCTTCAAGCCAACTTTCTCAGCTTGTTGCATAGCCTTGGCTTCTGAGACTGCAGCCTGAGAGGGGCTGTATACGATCCACTCAGGATTCGCTCGAAGAGCATCAACACGGATAATCCTCTGCCATGTGGCAAAATCTTCAGAAGAGCAAAAATTCAACCCACCCCCGGTTTTTGAGGGAGAGGAAATTGTATTTTCATTCAGATCGTTTCCTTCAAATTCTTCAGCGCTAAGAAAAGGTACACTGTCAACTTCAGAAGACTCAGAATCAGATGTTTCTGAACTGGCGCCAGAACCTTCTTCACAGGTCAACACAATCTTTTCAGCCTCTTCCAATGACGTGACAGAGGGTAAAATCTCAGGATCCCAGATAGGTCCATCAGAGTCCGAAGGGCTATCCCCACCATTTGAAGATCTTGCACTGCTTAGGTCATCTGAATCAGGAGTGTCCGAAACTTGGCTGAAAAACCCACCACTACCACCATTGCTATTTTCAACAGTGTCATTCCCCTTAAAGCTTGCAGCACTGCGTCTTAGAATTCGACGACATTGTTTTCGCAAGTTTTCATATTCTTTCCTGATCAGAGGCAATAAACATCAAGCAATGAATCCATGAGCAATGTGAGGATAAAGGAGAATATCACAAATACAAAGGATGCAAAGTACCTTTTCTGATTTCTAGCAGAGTCTCTTTCCTCCTTCGTGCTGTTCAAGTCATAACTGCTCCAATAAAAGGGAACTCAATGTTACTAAACTTCTAACAAAAACCATCATAAAAAATTAAAGCCACAAATTAAGAACATGTAGCATAACACTAAATTCTACAACCAACTTCAAAGATAAAAAATCAGATTACTATGCCAAGACAATGGAATCACAAGAACAGCCTCTTTGCAGTTGCTGGAATTTAATTAACAGAGCCTCTTTGTGCACTTAAGGAGTCTTCGTAGAGGCATATAGGTCAAGGTATGGTGCAGTTAAGATACAGCTAAAAATTCTTCCAAAATCTGCCTAAAATATTATCTACTCTAAGCAGAGATGCCTAGTAACTTGTTAATAAATCCATCAAATGCCTAGAAACTATAACTAAATTGTAGCCTTGACTTGAGCACCACTTGTAAAACAAAGATTTTAAAGGGAACCATTATTGCAAATAATTCCTAAAAATACAGAAGAAAAAAAACAGTGGTATATTACTTCTTCGGTATCAAAATTACTTGCCAAATTTAATTATTACACTCACTATATAAAATCTTCAGAAATTTATTTTTGACATTAACCTAACACTGTTGCTTTCATACCATAACCAAAATACATGTTTGATTTGACTGATTAACAGTCAAAATTAGCGAGCTTTAACCAGCAGACTCAGATATCAGGGAACAATAGAATTAAACATGACAATATGAACATGCGGGAATCTATAGAAATAATCATGAGAAGCACAAAGGTAAGAGTTGCTTGGAGAGACAGTAAAGTGCTTGTTGGTGGAGACATAATTAACATAGACATTGATACAGCTTTTTTTGCCTCGTGGGGACATAAATCAGATACAGTAATTAGTTATGAAATCAAATCAGGTAAAAGAAAGCAATCCTGAGGTTAATACAAAAAGTGAAGACTAAACTATTGACTTCTCTTTCTATACTTACACTCCAAGAAGAAAGGGCCAAACTTCTGCTCTGATATTGGGATCTACACCCTGCAACAACGATATGAAACATGATCATTCCGGGGGGGAAAAAAAATACAATGCATTTAAATATGGAGCTGAAAATAGCGCCACAAGTTCAACCACTGACTAGGCAAACGACTTACTCCGCTTCTCACTCTCTTCAAAAGCTTCACTCCACCATTGATCAATTTACCATCGGGTCCAAATAGATGTTTCCATTGCTTGGATAGAAGAGCGCGTTTTCTCCTCCGCCTAGACCAAGGAGATTTTAGACTTAACCTGAACATAAAAAAGACACAAAAGAATCAATAAAGGATTGAACTTAGCTTCAGAACACAAACATTACAGAAGAAAACAGTCACTCAAGTATCATCATACCTTACCCTGGAATAAAATGATTTGCAACTAAATTTATCCACATCCAAAAGGAGCACAAACATTAAAATTACATTTTCTAGTAATTAGAACCTAAGAGGAATTGTTGATTTGTCCAAAAAAGATACATCAGTGTTCAATCCCAAACATGTAGGATGCAACATCGGTAATTTTGTTAGGTGAGGTGGTGCCATGGTGGTGGCATTGAAGGCAATGGCACGGTGGGGGTACAGTCAGAATGATTAACGCTCCGTATACATTTCCATACTGAATCCAAAGTAGAAGTCTTTCATAAGAAAATTTTAAAGCTTGAGATATACAATGATAAATTTGGTGAAGTTTGTTTGTCAAACATTATTTGACCTTTCTAAGAGTGATAGTTCCAAAATCTTTGAATTAGTCTTGTGTAGATATTCTCATCTACAGAACGGGTCAACAACGAAAGATTAGATCTTAATCACACTAAACTGTTTATACTATGTTAAACATCTAAGCACATTTTCAACTTTTGCAAATTATCCCCACTTGAATACCATACAACAAAACCCGAACTCGAATTAAAATTGAAAAAATAACAAATACTCCCTCCGTTCCGTTCCTTATTGTTCTTGCTATGCAAACTTCAACCACAAAAATCTTAAATTTCATGAATATGTAAATAATAAAAATCTATAATTAGAAAATATACAAAGGTGGAAATTAAAATGGTCAAGATTTGGCTGCGTTATACTAAGCTCATTTCCAGAAATTAAACGGGTCAACACGAAACGAATTAAAACAAATAAAAATTGAAGTAAGCAATTCAACTGTAAAGCAAAGCAATTAAGTAACAAAATTCCAGATCTCGGTCTCAAATCAGTAAAGTAAAAAAACAAACTCACCGATCACTAGAAACTGGGGAAGAAGAAGAAGACGAATTAGTAACTACGAAAAGCACCGATCTTAAGTGAATCCACGAAGAAGAAGAAGGAGACGGCGAAGACGACGACGAAGACGACGGCGTAGAAGTATGACTTCGCCGGAGAGATCTCAACAAATGTTTTTGTTCCGAAATCATATCTTAATCTTAATAACTACTAATTAAACTCCTAATTGTATAATTATACTCTCTGATTAACTTCCAAATCTGGATTATCTCCAATTAATCGATGATCAATATCTTCAAGAGTGAAAATGGAGGCGGCCACGGCGGCGCAAGCCGTGGCCGTCACAGGAGGAAGCTAAGCCAACATGATAAGACACTGTAACACTTGCGCCGCCGCCGTTGTCGCCGGAAAAATTGAAGAGTTGAATAAAGGAAGAAGAGGGAGTAACAGCATGAGAGATGGAGAAGGGTAAAATTGTCAAATTGTTGTTGAAATTAGCATAGTGGGATTGAATCACCACCATCACCAACTGAAAAAACCCAAACTTCTTGTTGTTGTTCTTCTTCTTCCTTCCAAAGTACCCCAACTACCCTTTACTCACTTTCTCTCTTTCTTCGCTTTTTCTCTTTATTTCAATTATACTGCTGTTCCTCTCTCTAAACCACTATCTTTTTTTAGTTTTTTGTTTTTTCTCTCTCTATTTCCTCTCCTGTTACTACCGTCACGGCGTTACTACATATTTATATGCGGTTTGCCCGCTTGAAGATGCGTAGGATAGAACCGATATGTCTTGTATAAGACGAGTGTATTTGAATGTCTGTGTATTAATTATACACGATAAGTGTATTTGTGTGTAAATCTTACGCGTTTTAAAATTGTACTTCTGAAATTTTTTTTTATTACAACGATTTTATATATGCAATACTTTCACTTATACATTATTTATTTCGATTTTATTAGATTCTTTTAGCTTTATTTTATCTTTTTTTTTATGTTTCACATATTTGTGATAAACACTATTAGTGATAAAATATCATTATTTTAAATATCATTTCCCTTGACCCTTGTTTAAACTTAAAATTATATTCCCTTCATTTAATTTCTACTTAACATATAATCTTTTCTTTCTTAACTCAACTTATTGTCGTTGAATTTTAATAAGCCAAATTCATTATTCTTCCAACTGGGTTTCCTATTGCCAATCCCAAATCTGAATAAAGGAGAAAGGTTACAGTAGGTCAGTAATATATAGTGTAAAATTTTGTCACATCGCTTGACATGATCCACAATAATTGAGAGTAGTACTAGAATGGATGACCTCTTGGGAAATCCTCACGTTGGTTCATATAACTGACCCCACTTATGGGATTAAGACGTTCAAGCTGAAGAAGAATTATTTTATTATTCTCCATTTCACTCCAAAAATTCTTTTCGCAATCTTCGAGATGTATTTTTATATCATTAATATATCTAATATTCTAATCTAATTATATTATTTCCAATCTCCCATCCTAAATTAGTGGTTACATATTCTTTTTCCAACTCTTTCAAATTAATTACTCGTATAACATTACATTTTTGGTAAATTTTTCTCACCTTCGTTTATTTTTATTCTAGATTAGTCAAGTTAAATACTTGAAAGTAGGGAGGATTTAAAATTTAGGATTTTCACCTCCAAGTACAATTGCTTGTTGAAATCTTTGGACATCTAAGATCAAAGATAAGCCTCTTATCAAGTGAGTTAAACTTTGTTTGGAGGGCTAAATTTAATTGGTTGTAGAAAAAAAAATAAGGATTAGCACAAGTAGAGCAAGCAGAGGAGATAATCAATAAAATTAGAATGAGACCATGTCATAATCATAAATATTACACATATTGAAGCACATAAATTACAAGTATTTAGAAAGAACTAAAGTATACTTATAATATACGTAACAAGATAACACGATCCCTCGTATATACCGTAAATATAAAGTCTATATACGGAATACAAGTTATCATTGAAGAAAAAAAAAAGGCGGAATAGAAGCATGGTAGTGATTAGAAGGAAAATAAATAAGTTCCGGCAATTAGCGCATATATTGGGGAATTAATCCCTTTCACACACTTCACTTTTATCATGCGCAGTTCCAAAACACCAAGTGGATCAAGTTCCCCTTTCTTTCTTTTTCTTTCTTTTTTAAGCTTTTTTTTATTAAATTTTTAATTTAAAATGAGCATACGTAAAAATTTGTGCTTGACAAGGAAATCTAATGATGAAAGATGATGAGTGTGATAAAGGGGCCCAACAACTCCATCCATATTTGACTTCAAAATCGACGTTTATTTTTTGGTATAAGCCCTTTTATTACTTTCGCTTTGTGTCTTTTTGCCTAAATTCTCCATCTTTGTCTTTTATTTGGCCCATTTTTTTAGGCCCATTTCTTGGATTTTTTTCTTTCCCCTTTGTGTTCAACATTTGAATAGTATATTGACTCGAGGCCTAGAGGGTGAGCTAGTCGACTTGTAACTTGTAAGTTGAACAAAAATCTAACCGAAAACATTGGACTAGGGTTGGGGTTTTGTAACCCATTTAAACATAGGTTGTTAAACTAGGTTTTTTTATTTTTTATTTTTTATTTTTTTTTAAATAAAAATAAAACACTTGTATTAAGGATAATATTTAGTAGCAAGTCTCATTTTTCTGTAGCACTAGTTTTTGAGATTGTGGATAAGAGGTGAATATAAAAATCAAGATAGAAAGGTTTAGTTAGTTAGAAATGAATTAAGGTAGTGAGATTTGGTTGATTAAATTTAGATTCGGGATTTTAAGATGTAGTAAGACTTTCATTTGGAGACGGCAGAAGGAAGTATGATTTCCACACCGTGGCTGAATTTATAAATCTATACTTACATTTGTTCGCTTCATTTGTTAACAAAATAGATAAATATGAGTCATAAGCCGAGTTCATTTTTTGAGCTATGCACCTAGTGTTTCAATTTAATTGCATCCTTCTGACCAGTGAGGTTATAGGGTTTGAAGGCTAATAAAAAGTAACAAAGACATTGAAGACATTTTTGGATCCTCATACAATTATTGTCTTAAAAAGGAGGTACAACACCCTTTTGGGGTGCTTATTCACAATAGCCAACTTATTTCCCATGGATAGCACAACTATCATCACAAGTAAAGTTATGGAACTTTGTGGAAACTTGTGCACAAAAAATAAAACTAAATCTAATGAAGAAAGAACATGAACTTCATGAATTTACAAGACAGCTACATATCATATTAGCAATCACGTAATTGTACATTATACCATAAATCAATGAGATAAAGGATGATTACTAAACCAATGAGATAAATGATGATCAGTAAACCAAGATATTTGTTACTGATATGTGTTAACATTATATTCAAAATTTGAGGTAGTATGTCAAATTTTTGAGATTCATTTCACCTTTACCATTCGATGAGACGCGTCTCACTTAATACCTTTTCTTACATCTATAAATTTATTATCGCTCGAAAAAATTTATATCAAGCGCTACCGCTGTAATGCCTGTAAAGATCTTGATTAGTGCGTAAACCTTCAAGGTATCGATACAAGTCATTGAAGTACGCTTTAACATGTTGGAACTCCAAGTCTCCAACTTCAAGATCCTGATCGAACATCTATAAGCCATCATGAATTTTATTCTGGATTGCTAGCTGAATGTAGCCCAATTTATGCCCAGCCCAAATTCATGACATCTTCGCTTTACAGTAGAGGCCCAACATAAGCCCAACAAAATATTAGTTTGTTGAGACAACATCACTATCGCAAGTTGGTATTTATTTCCCTCCATACTTAAGTTTTCAATCTGAAGTCGGTATTAATTTACCTCCATACTTGAAAGTTTTCATTTCTTTCACAATCATATCCATATCGTAATGCGTAATCCTGATCATAAGCTATTAAACTAATCAAAAATACTTTTTTTAGTTTCAATGCTTTGATTTAGACATGGTACAACGGTTTAAATTATATTTAAAGGAGAAAAGATGATCACAAATTCTTATATATGGCTGACCATACCGTGTGGGCATCATAAGGTTACTTCGTTAGCATTATAGGGGTTACTTCGTAAATGTTATAGGGCTTATTCGGTTAGTGTTAAAGAGTTACTCGGTCACTATTACAGGAGTTACTTAGTCGGTGTTATAGGGGTTACTTTGCTCTTTTACAAGTGGACATACGGTGTAATTAGCCGCACACAAAACAGGCTGAAATATAATTACGTGTAATAGTTACAAAATATCAATTTTAAATAAGCGTCATTTACTAAAAATTAAACATATTATTGTTCTGTCAAAATAAGATACTCTCTATTTTCTTTTGATTGTTCCATTGAAATATTTAGAAATTCTATGGAGATGAAATCTAGTAATTTAATACTCCGTAATATAGTCATGTTTTATGTGGAATATTGTTAAATTCGTTTAGTTTTTATATTTCGAATATGTAGTTTTTATAATTTTTGTAATACAAAACTTGAAATATTTTAATTACGTTATTGCATTGAAAACCGTGTAAATATCAAATGAGACAAACATTTTAAAACAAAAAGATTATTAATGATTGAAATCATCTATCAACGAGCGTAAACAAAGAAAATATGAACACTTTGGGAAGCTATTGAAGCTAATTAATCTAGACATGTAACTTCAATTTACGTCTAAAAATTTGAATATTAGGTGAGCTACCATTTTATTTAATGAGTCGACACATTTTAATTTGTTCAACCCCCCCTACCCAACTAAATATCCCACCTTCATGCAATATTAGTAGAAATACCCCTCCTCCATCCCTCTTCACTTCCACACATCATCCTTCATCATCCATCCCTCAAAACACAAACACTACATACCCAAAAATGGCAAGCACTACCCTACAAGTGAAAGACGAGCGAGCCGGGGCTGAGATCGTGTACGGGGCCGAAGAGTGCCAAAAGCAATCCCATGAACTCCTACAAGAAATGGGGTTCCCTAAGGGTGTAATGCCCTTAAAGGATCTTGTAGAGTGCGGAAGAGTACGCGAAACCGGTTTCGTGTGGATGAAACAGAAGGCTCCCTCCGAACATTACTTCGAAGAGAGCAAGACACTAACTAGCTACGCTACAGAAGTAACGTCGTATGTAGAGAAAGGAAAGATGAAGAAGATGACAGGGGTTAAGAGTAAGCAATTGTTAATGTGGATTACTATAACTGAGATGAGTGTTGATGATCCTTGTTCGGGTAAGATTCACTTCAAGACTGCTGTTGGTATTGGCAAGTCTTTTCCTATTACTGCTTTTATGGATCCTGAAGAGAAGGTTAAGTACTTGGAGAATAAGAAATCTGATCAAAACAAAAAGTGATTGGTTTCCTTTATTTGTTTCGATAAAATCCGACTATATGCTTGACTTCTATCTCCCGTTTTAGTTAATTTATATTACGAGTATCATTTTCTATGTTTTATGTATGTATATGCTATTGGCTTCTTGAAAATTCAAGGTTGAATGAAGCCTTTATTTTTTCAAAAATAAATTCACTATTTGAACATTAATGGAAGCCAATGCAAAGATCGAGTATATATATGTCATTAATTATCTTTAATTTTGTTGTTTTATTATCTACATTATGGTAGAAATAATGCTCTTCATCTATATTTAAGAGATATATACTTGTATGTCATACCAATATAAATTAAACTTTCCTTAATTTTTTTGCACCAACGCAAGATTTAGTCATTAAGCAAAGACTTTGAATTGCACTACGGAGTACCAATTTACCAAACAAGCACATTTGGTAGGGGTGTTGCAAAGAATAAAAATCATTAATTAAATTGGCTATTAAAGTAGCTAGCTAATGGAGTGGGGAGATATATGGGCTGGACGGTGGGACTTGATGGCTAGATAATGGGACAAGAGTATGTATCCAATGCTTCCCAAAATACTTTGGTTTAAATATCAATCGAGCATTATTGAGACCTTTTTTCTTTTTAATTATTAATATTAATTGAGATGATTTTAACAAGGATTCAAAAATTGATTATATTTTTTCTTATGGCCAATCACTAACATGAGTTGAAGTAGAGTAGGTGAATATTGTACAAAATCAAATTGTTTCACTAACAAAAAAAAAAAAAAAAAAAAAAAAAAAAAAGAAAAATAGAAGACGAAGAAGGAGGGAGTATATTAAACAAAATCAACTTTATATTCTCCATCACCAACTACAGTAGTTAGCATTGTCACCGCTCCCTTATTCAAGCTTAGCATACCTTTCATATCAATTAACACATTTTAATTTTAACTCTATTCATATTCGTAGTATTTTTTGTGACTTACATATTAGAGAAGATCATGATTATGTGAAGTTTTGTTAGATATGGAATACATCTAATCGAAGAGATTACTATTTAAATCATAAATTTGCAAACGTGTCTAGATAATTCAACTAAAATGAAAATGAAATTCCGTATGCCAATAATAAAATAAAAAAAATCGAACCAATGCATGACGTGGACCAACCAAGCCCGCTAATTCGTCAATTATTTTTTAAATAGTTTGATACTTTGACTACATTATACTATAACTACTCCCCACAAAACCACCCACTCATGTCCATGGCCCGTCTAGACGCTCATTCACTCTTCCGTTTCCTACACTTTCCTTCCGCCTTCACCACCATCACAACCCACCGTTACCTCCGCCTCCACGTCACCCAATCCGACGTGTCATCTTCAACCCAAATTTCAGAAAATGGGGCCCCACAAACAGTTCAAGTCCACCCGTCTCTCGAAGTCATCGGAGGAGGTCGGGACAAGTATTTATCCGCTTTGAAGAAGAATCTGGAGCACCCTTATAACCCGTTTCCGATTATCGGATCGAATCGACACGTGGAAACTATTTTTGCGGCGTTTTACCGGTCGTTACCGGATGTTAAGTTCTGGCGTGAGTGTTTAAGGACTAAAGATGACGGTGCTGTTGCTCTTGATTGGGTTGCCGGTGATCATCGAAAGCTTCCTCCTCTCTCTCCTGTTCTCATTTTGCTAGTAAGTTGATTTCTAATTTTTAGTTTAAAAATTCTAATCTTCAATTTAATTTAGTCTAATTAGTTGATTCTTTTAAATTATTTGATATAAGTTTAAGGGAAATTGGAGGTTGTCGAGTTTTATTATACACCCGCGTGTACCGACGATGATGTTTAGTAATTTACAGGATAAATGTGGTACACCCCATTGTATAATGAATTAATAAGGTAGTTGGGTCTTGGAACTAAGGTGGAATTTGGTCTTAGTTACTTTCAATTGTGATTTTCTAGAATAAAGAATTAAAGATTAGTGTTGAAAATGGAAGTTTATGTGCCCAAATTTCAAATGCCATCTTTGCTAAGTGGGTGAAAACATCCAAAAGAGAGTGTTTCTTACTCCTTAATTAATGACCTCTTTGTTAGCTAGGAATTTCTATTTTCTCTATATGTAGATTGTTCTTATATTGGTTGAGAGAATGAGAGCAAAGTCAGCAAACTGACCAAATGAGAAGGGTAAGTAAGAAGCTATGGTGTTTCTTGCTCATAAAGAAGGAAAACTAATGCACGTATCTGAGTTAATTGTCGCATTGTTCCAACCCATTAGGATATGACACAATGTTACTGAAAGTCACATATTTATGGATTGGTTTATTTTCAAACTCTCAATACTCAACCTTAGTACGTAATTTTCTAGCACATGACAACCTTTTCAGGACATAAGTCATTGGTAAATGTCATATGGAAACATTATAGGTACTTGCTTAGTTGCTTATTTAGAATGTAAGCTAAAGTGTACAACCAAAACAGACTCTGCTACACAATAACTAGAACTCTAGCTGCCAGTTTTTGACTTTGATGTGCTTCTGATGAGGATATCTTTCATAAGGGGATCATAATGTGTAACTAGCAAGGTGTTGTAGAAATTCCTAGCTAACAAAAATCGAAGGAGAGCAATAACAAAAGATATTAATGTATATGTGTAAACTGGTAAAGGGAGTGATCTTACTGATAAACTGAGTGTAAGTAATGGGCAATTAAAGGGAGTAAAAGTTTGTGACTGAAGTTATCTAATTTGTATGGCCATCAGAAATTCAGAAGTTGAGTTCTTAAACATTAGATCTCACTCCTGTTCCAATTGTTTAATTTATTTTTTCATACTCTTATAGTCTTATTATACCCATTAGTGATATGCTGTGTCAAGGACTATTGCTTATGGTAGGTTGGAGAAGAGTGTTGAATGCTGAGAATGATGAAGTATGGTGATAGGGATTATTGATTAGAGAACATATTGTGCAGCCAGGTCTTACCGGAGGAAGTGATGATACTTATGTAAGACACATGTTGATTAGGGCCAGGAAGCTGGGTTGGCGAGTGGTTGTCTTTAACAGCCGTGGCTGTGGTAATAGCCCCGTTACTACTCCTCAGGTAATTCCTTCCTCATCATGTTCACTTTCCCCTCCCCTCCTCTTCGAAAAAAAGGAACTTTAGAGAAAGAAAGAAAAAGATTGATGCTGCAGAAATTGAAAGGCTATAATCGTTGATATGGGCAGTTTTATTCAGCATCATTCACTGGGGATCTTACTGAAGTGATCGCACACGTCAGTGGTAGATATCCGGAAGCCAAGTTATATGCTGTCGGCTGGTCTCTTGGAGCTAATATACTTGTGTGTTACTTGGGTCAGGTATGGTCTATTTCATTGTATGCTTTTATCGCTAACATGGTATACTTACTTAATTAGCTCCTTCACTAACTGTGTCTGTGTTTTGTGTGCATTATTTAACATTATTTCTTAACACTTTTTGACTTGTATGTACTCAAGATGATGCATGCAATAATGAAGATGCCTTTGTAAGGTTAAGGGAAATAGTTAATCGTAGCCATAACTTAGATAAGTCAATTCGTCAATACATAGGACTGGAATATACTTCCTCCATTGCGTAATTACTGCAACACTTATCCTTTAGGAAATTTCACAGTAATTGCAACATTATTGGATTTGGCTAGTAGGTCTCTCTATCTTTCTCCCCCTCCCCCTTCTTTTGTAGTATATATTGAATAGAGGAAGACCATATTTTCTTCACCTTATTTTAGAAACTTTTGAATGATTCTTGTTAGAATTAGATACACCAAACTAAAAAGATTCAGACCACATCAACCCTAAACTTCTTATTTCCATTTACTTATGATTAAATTATAACTCTAATTGCGTATTAGTAAATATTATGAACATGAAATATATGGAAAATATATATTGAGATTATTTTAACTAGATTCCACTTGAGACTTGACCATGTTTTTCCTATATAGTAGTGTAAACATACAATAGAAAGATTCAGACCAACCCTTAGCAAAATCAGACCAAAACACCTTATTTCAGTGAAAAGAACAAACCTGAACTAGTATCAACAGTTTTCATGCTGATGAGATTATTAGGTGCATCACTTTTACATTCTTCACTTTCCTTCATCAACTGCAAGCTTTTAAATGAGTATTATGAGTGTTTGTTGTGAATCGGTTTTGACTGGAGATCATGTTCTTTTGCAAAGCCACCTTAAGATTGCTCATTCTGTGTTTTTCAGCAATACTGTTTATTTGTTTTAAATATTCTCAGTTTCTCTCTAATTACTGTGTTTATCCTTAGGAATCACATAAATGCACCCTTTCTGGAGCTGTGAGCCTGTGTAACCCTTTCAATCTACCAATTGCAGATGAGGACTTCCACAAAGGCTTTAATAATATTTATGACAAAGCATTAGCAAGTAGCCTTAGAAGAATATTCAAGAAGTAATGATAACCTGCGATTTTTAGCTGTCTCTATATTGTTATATTTATATATACTCTCTTCTCCTGGGAATAATAATTACTTATACTATTTGAGATGTTTGATGAAGTTGAGCAACTTCAGTTGGTTTTTTGTCAGAATTTTCTTTTATAAGACCAGTTTGCTTGCGTCTCAGGCATGCAGCTCTCTTTGAAGACATTGGTGGGGAGTATAACATACCAATGGTTGCATATGCGAAGACTGTAAGGGAGTTTGATGAAGGACTGACACGAGGTCAGTACGATTCTCATCTGTAGAAGAAAAAACTTCTTATGCAATTTGTTATTCATGTCTAATTTGCCTGCCCTTTCTAACATCTTGCAGTATCTTTTGGGTTCAAGTCAGCTGATGACTACTACTTTCATTCAAGCAGTGCAGATTCAATTAAGGATGTTTGTACACCATTGCTATGCATTCAGGTAGTGTTTTGTTGACGTGTTTGCATCTGTATTAGTATATGTCAAAAGTTTGTATCAGAATGACAGAGAAGTGTAGGGCATCATTTTTATGAGCACTTAAACAAGCCGACAATAATGGGTATAAAAAAAAGAGTGTGTAAATGTAGCCTTCGCTGCAATTGCAAAGTACTGCAAGTATAAAGAAGAGTGGAAAGTACTTGAATTAGTGATGAGGGAGATATAAGGCATGTACTGTATATATTCTATGTCAAACATATGAAGCCAGAGTGTGGAAATTGAGATGAGGACTGCATAGATTATTGGATTACTACTTACCGGAGTCAATAAACAATCTGAATTTTCATATCTGCATGTTTTGCAGGCTGCAAATGATCCCATTGCTCCAGCCAGGGGTATTCCTCGCAAAGACATCGAGGTTTGTGATTATTGCTAATTTTGTTCATTATTTTACTCCAATGCTTTTTTAATACTCTTGAAAGGTTGGTGTGTTTTTGCACATATTCTCTTCTCCTATGAAGAGATCGAGTTGATGAATTGCTTATGTTTTGGATGTTATTCTTGGATCCTTGTGTAACTAGTGGTATATACTGCATCTTAAGAGGTGCGTATTATGAAGTAGCTTGCCACGATATATTATACTTTATTAGTTTTTGAATGTTCCACACAGTTAGTTGGGATAGCTTGGTTTGGTCTCTTTGTTTTCTATGAAATACAAGTATATTGATACTACCTAGTAGCAGATCTAGTATGTGCTGGGATGTGAACTGGCGCCTCAAATTATGAAAATTGCTATTTGCTACTTGTAATTATTTATTGCAGCCCCTTAATATAACCCAGTATTGGACCTACTCTTGAGCTAATATTGTTGATTTCACCGATCTGGTGGTCTGATCTGCGCGGGAAATGAGTTTGATGTTTGCTTTTTTTCTAAAACACGTGATTATTTAGCTCTGAAAGGTGTATGTCTTGTTTGGTGATCAAACTGTCCTTTATCTAACTTTGTTTTCTTTTATCAGGAAAATCAGAACTGTCTGTTGATTGTTACACCGAATGGTGGTCATTTGGGGTGGGTTGCTGGTAATGAAGCTCCATTTGGAGCACCATGGACGGATCCATGTGTGATAGACTTTTTGCAACATCTTGATAGGAGATTGTCTGAAACCTCATCGTCACCTAGCCAATTGAATGAGGCCCCAATGTGTACCGAGGGTGGTTTGGTAGCAGCCGAGGTATAGCTGGCAATTAAATGATTGCTGTTTCTGTGAAGATTGTTAGCATTTAGCAATGCAAACATACCTTCTGTAAAATCAAATTGCTCAATTCTTTCTGATATACCCAAAATTCTGTAGATAGTTCGATTCCTTCACTAGACTTCCTTTTAGGAAGCTCGAGGCATGATTTATTGGCTGATAAGAATCCAGCAACCATTGTGTATTCCTTCCTTGCTTAATTGCAAATGACCCAAATGTAATATTATTTCGGAAATGTATTGAAGTTTGCATTACAATATGACTACACGGAATAATCAAATTTGGTTTATGTAGCCGACCCCATTTATGAGATTAAGATTTTGATTGATTGATTGATATTGAAGTTTGCATTACAGTATGACTATTTTGTTTAGTTTGGGAAGGTAATGAAAATTGAAATAAGGTACTGAAAATTGAAATGATGATGTAACATTTCATTTAAATTGGCTACCCTCATTGTGCTGTACAGTAACTATTTAGAGGTGAACAAAATGCACACACAATGAAAAGCATGCTAATACTTTCCAAGCCACTGCTTTCTGTAATTACTTTTTCTCTCTTAATCTAATTTATTTATTTATTTTTTATTTATTTTTATTTATTTTTATTTTATTTTTTTTTTTAAAAAAAAAGGGTACGTTGGGCACATTGTCTGAATAGTGAGCTGTAAAGAACAGAAAAAACAGTACAGCAGAAAGTATAAATTGCCCAAAATTTCTCTCCATTAAAGAGAGTGTTTCCTAAAACTTTGACAAAAATGGAAAAAATGGGTTAAGCTAAGTTTTGCAATTGCTTTTACCAAAACTAAATTAGATTCTCTTTCTGATTGATTTATTTATACTGAGTAAATGAATTCCATTATCTTCTTGATTATCATTCCCAGTTATCATTCAGCTCTCTGATCCTCCATTTTTCTATCTCTAATTTCAGTTTCAAAACAGAGTAACATAAGCAATGGCATCAATCACCCTTTTTTCTACTATCATCATTGTAATGATCTTGGCAAATTGTAAGTCCTCTTTAACAATTTCTATGACTTTTGATTTCATAAATTGTCTTTAATTCTAGTAAGTTCTTAGCTTAATTGTTCTTAATGGAATATTCATTTCAGTTCATTCATTACTCTTTCAATTTAATCTCTTGCTTTAGGTGGACCGACGAATTCGGCTGTAAATGACAGCGACGGTGGTGATCAATCGCCGAGGTTTTGTGGAGAAGTATGGTTGAATCCGAAGTATGTATGCCGGTCATACAAATGCCGTACTGGAGGAACTTGCTGGTGTTTTCTGGAATTCGATTGCGGCTATAAAAGTAAAGAAGAGTGCATGAAGATATTCAACTCTACGTGCACACTTAATCCTCCTGCTAATAGGAGTAATAGATTTAACAAATTTGGTTTGATCTTTGTTATTACTTTAGCTATTTTCGTGTTTTTGCTGGTTTCTTATCTCTTTGTTATTTTCGGTTATCAAACCCTTCATCGGTTATTGATACGAGTAATAAACCAACTCTTTATGCTTAGCAGCTTACTAATTGTAACCTCGGTTAACAGTTAATCTATCTACTATTCTACTTAGATGTTGCAAACTTTTTTTATTTTTTTCTTTTGTAAAATTCAGCAATGTAAGGCTATTAGAGCCACAAGAGATGTAAATTGAAAAATAGTAATGAAATGCAAATTGGTTTGAACATGCTTTGTTATACCTTAATTTCATCCTGTAATGATAGGTGGCATTACCATTTACACCTCTCTACCACTCGCAGAAAAGCACAATCAATTAAATTGAACTCTTTCTACAATTGTCACTTGGGTCAGGTATGGTATGGTGTGTGTTAGATTTCGAGAAAAATCCTCAAATTGGAGTGTGTACCATTGATCAATATATATAGAGTTTAAGACTAGTTCTTATCACATTGGAAACCTAGTACGATAAGGATACAAAATATATCGTAATTTGTTATCAGATCAGTCTATTCGTCTGTTACCTCTGTTTCATCTGCTTTCAGATTGCTAACATACCAATGGTTGCAAATGCGAAGACTGTAAGGGAGTTTGATGAGGGACTGACTCGAGGTCAGTACGTTTCTCATCTGTAGTAGAAAGATCTCTTAATGTAATTTGCTATCCATGCCTATCTAAAATTTCGCAGCATTATTGGGTTAAAGTCAGCTGGTGATTACTACTTGCATTCAAGCAGTGCAGATTCAATTAAGCATGTCTGTACACCATTGCTTTGTATTCAGGTAGTGTTTTGTCAGCACATAAGCATCCGTATATGTCAAGCCTCTTTGCTTGGAACTTTATATCAGAATGACACAAAGTGTAGGAACATCAGACTTATTAAGGTATGTGTTTTCCCTATGTTTTGTTCATGTTTTGACTCCAACGCTTAAAAAATAAACTAATGATAACAATGATACGAGTACTTATTAAGGGTTGCTGTATGTATGCCATGTATCTTTGTACCTGTTCTCAGCTCCTATCTAGAGAGGCTGCAGGATTTGATTTCTTATTTTCGGATGTTATTTTGGCATCCTGATCTAGTTATATACTACGAATACATCGTTGTATTGAAGTTAATTGCCACAATTTCAAATGGTATTTGAATCTGCCATTCAGTTAGTTGGGGTTGCTTGGTGTGCTCTCTTTGTTTTCCATTTATTTATATGCATACTAATTACCTGTAGCGGATCGACTATGCATGTTCAATGGGATTCAAGTGACACTTCAATATAAAAAAAAGTGCAAATTTTCTATTTACTTATTTCAGCCTAATTTTGGTACCCTGAAACTCTCTGATTGATAACTTCATATTCTGCTTTCTCTTAAGCTGATACTGTTGATCAACTTGATTTTACTGTCAGATGATCTGATCTACTAGTATTTGGGAAATGAGTTTGCTGCTTGCTTTTATCTGGAACGTGTGATTATTTAGTATTTACCTTTGAGCCTCTGAATGATGGATGTTTGTCTGTACTTTGGTCCTTTGCTTTCTTCTATCAGGAAAATCAGAACTGTGTTAATTGTTATATCGAATGATGGTCATTAGGGGAGGATTGCTGGTAATGAAGTGCTGCTTGGAGCACCATGGACATCGCCATGCATGATAGACTTTTTGCAACACCTTGAGAGGGGATTGTCCGAAACCTCATTGTCGCCTAGCCAATTAAATGAGGCCCCCGGTGTGTACTGAAGGTGGCTTGGTAGCAGCCGAGGTGTAGCTGGTGATTAAATGATCTGTGTAAATTATTACGGAGTAGCATTTAGCTATACATAGCTGTTGTAAAATCAATTGCACAATTCTTTCTGATGTACCAAAGATTTCGTTCATAGTTCGACTCCTTCTCTAGTTTTCCTCTTAGGAAGCTCGAGGCATGATTTATTGGATGATAAGAATGCAACAACATTTTTGTATTCTTTGCTTAATTGCAAATCACCAAATGTTAGATTTTTTTTTTCTCAAATGTATTGAAGTTTGTATCACAGTATGACTATTTTGTTTAGTTTGGAGAGGTCTTGAAGACTTGAAGATTAACATGATGATGTAACCATTTCATTTAAATAGGTCACCATATTATTTTGCTGCATGTTAATTGGTTTTGATCATCCTTCCAAACTTGACTCTGCAAGTAGAGATGACAGATTGAAATGTGGGTACAATTTCGCGATCATGCAATGCACCCGGCCCATCAATTAAAACAAGCATTTGCTTCGTTTAGGTTTATTGGGCCTTATTAGAGGTTTGACCATTATGAAAAAAAATCATTTGAGAGTTTGACCGGTAAACATCCCATGTCTAAACATATACATCGACCATCTTTTGTGAATAATATGTAAGGACAAACATTATGTGGGATCTTTTTTAATTCGTCTCAATAAGTACTATCATAATATATAATTTTTATAATTTTTACTTTTGGAGAATTTAAAGTTATTGATCGTTAAAACTTTGCATTGGAAAGCGTGATAAAATAAAACAACTCAAGAAAAAAAAAACGGAGGAAGTACTTCGTATTTGAGTAATAGCTAGTTTATGATAACAAAATTTTCTTAATTATTTTTCATTCATGTTTTTTTAAAAGCTACTCATATGAGATATTTAGAACATTATAAAATGGGTAACAAAAAAAGTATAGTAAATAAAAAATGTTTTATATGCAATTGAAAATATATGATGCCTTTGGAAAACAATGTACAATTTGTAGTATAAAAATTTTCTTAAGTCAATTTTTATACAAATTAAACCAATTTTATTAGTTAACTAATTAATTTTATTTTGAAAGTACATATATTAATTTTAAATGTAATTGAATTATTAGATGCAATGACTCGGGGCGCCTAAGCCAATAACTAACTACTTAACAACTTATAAAATCATCTTGCTAATGCTAGACAAGGTTAACCATTATTTCATATGCTACAAAAAGCCAACATGTTAATATGTTATTATTTTATGTTTTAATTTTTGATGGATGGGTACGTATGTATAATTTTATGTTGACTGGTGCGGTCATCTTCTACTCTTTGTCATAAATTAATAAACAATATATAAAAACAATAAATTATTGTATCACACCTATATATATATATATAATTATTATAATTAGAGTCCATGTTTTTTTTGGTTCACTAGAGTCCATTAACATTCAAATTTTTGGATGTTGTACGAAATTTTTAATAGTAAGAACAATAACAACGAATTAAGGATCTACTAATTAAATTCAAGTCAAATTGTTCATAAATTTTATTGTACTTTTTGGACTACGTTGTGGCGGTCACGTCAATGTTCCTATCAAATGTGGTGCTAACATGACGCATAGGAAGTTAGCAGCCAATATTGCTACAATGACAACAATGTGCATGTGGTGCGTGAATATTTTGAGCTTGAATTGAGTACAATCTTGTCTAAGCTTAGTAAGCACTTAGGTCACAAAAACATTTCTTGCTTGACGAGCATGTTTAGATTGAGAAGTGTGTACAATCTTTTCATAAATTAAGTCGCTTGTTTAGTGCCATATGTACGTACATGTAATTGACGTAAAGTTAAAAGTTAATTAATCATTTTGTAATGCGAAGCATTCACTAATATTTAGTAGATGTCATACTTGTCCTAGATATAAACATCACTACACAAAGCAAGACTAATCTGTTAGGATTCAACTCTTGCATTTTTCATGCTACCACTTTAATAAAAGCCTAATGTATGTTTAAATTTATATTAAACTTACCAACGACTAATATTAGTGAAAGAGATTCAAAGAGTAGAGGGGAGGAAAATTTTTGGACAACTTGTATTAGGGGAAAAGGACATTAATAAATTCACGTTTACAGAGA